ATGGTTAGCCAACAGTGTTAATTTATCTATAATAAATGTGCCATGGCTGGGTATATATTGTCTTTTCTTGAATTCTGATATATTAGGGAGTATTTTACTTACATTCAACATAGCAAAAAACTTTTATGAACCAGCTTTTACTACTATACAATGCCTTCAGTCTCAAAATCCATTTCTGGGAAGCTCTTAGAGCCCTTCATCTTTTCAATATCCAAACGTCAAATGGCTACATTATTTTGAATTTTGTTTAAAAATAGTGAAGCTATTAACTTTCCTTCTCTTTTATCTAACAACCTCAAGTAGTGCAGTAATGTGTTTTCTGGTCCTCCTCTGTGTTTTATAACTTTAATATTTTGTCCAGTCCTCTGTGATTACCCCGTTCCCTGTGACCACTTATGCTTCAGTCAGCAAATGATATAAACTTCAAACAGTCTGAGATATTAGACAATGTATGAGGCTCAGGAGCAATGAGGTTATATGTTCGTCCTAAGTTAACCTTGGTGCACAATTTCACAGCTGCTCTGCAAGCTATTGGTTAAGGGCCTTTTTTTTACTTTCCAACCCCAGGATTAATTGAAAAAACAGCATGTGAACCAGGAAGTATTTTACATGCTTTTGGCTGATTATTCCCCAAGGTTATATAAAATAGCCATATGTAACCTTAGATACATCTCAGCTAATAATCATTGTTGGACTTGTAGAGGTATCACTGCTATAATGAAAATGCTGAAATAATAATAAATTAAAATAAAAAAAACAAAGCTGAAGACTACTTTCTCACATGTCAGCAGGTTGATAGGCTTTGAGATAATAAATGGAAAGAAACACAGATACAAAAAAAGGTAGAGCAGTGAATGTTTTTCTTTTAGCTCAAAGCTATTTGTTCTCTCTTTCTAACCCCTATTTTGTAGCACTGAACTGTCGTTATTATATCTGTAATTTTCTGGACGCCTATTGTGTCTTTTGAATACTGGATGATATTACTTAAACTGACTCAACAGGGATGAATAAGAATCTTTATGTGTATTTCAACCCTGTGATTCACTGTAGCTACAGATAAAAAAACAAAACTGCCCTGTATTAATATAGTTATGTTTATTGACTTTGGATGAATGCTTTGATGCACCAAATGTTTTATAAGGGTGATATATGAAAGAGTGGCACTTCACAACCATCTTTCTAATTTCCAGGCAATAATGGTACTGATTTTTTAACTTTGCTATATTAAAGTATAAATGCACTTTTCGTACAGTTCCACTTATTTTTTTATTCACTACCACCCCACACCCCCAGCCCTTCAGTCAGTTTAATATTCATTTTCCAATCCAGAGAGATCTCTACTGTGTGTACTCATTGATGCTGCAAAGCCACTTGCCAAAATCCTCTCTGTCAGTATGTGCATCGCACTCTCTTCTTGAAGACTGTGTAAATCCAACATTTGATATTCCTAATTTGTGCCTGCGGTACCATCTACTTGTATGAAAATGTATTTTGTTCTCTTTGTATTGCTTCCTTTGTGTGAAATACTTGGTGTTCCTGCCATTTCCTCTGCTTTCCTATTAAAAACTGACCACACCAGGCATGAGTGCACAGCGTTGTCAGTTTTCTAGCTGTGTTGAGAACTCAGCCTACTCTCCTCCAATGATCAGACTTCTGATGACACGACCTGTCTGCACAGCCATTCAATGGGAAGCATTAAAATAGTAGTGTCAGTTGGGGAAGTTGTTAAAATACATGTGGCAACACCCAAAACTTGTGAATATTTGCAACTATTTTGGGTCCCTAATTACAAGGGAATGAAAAACCATTATTGCAGTAAGGTCCTTATAGTGCATTGAAGAGCAAAATATGTTTGATACTGAAAAAAAAAAAAAAAAACATTTTCGGCATTTAATTCTGTATTATCTAAGCTAGAGAATCAAAGTATATTTCAAGAAATTAAATGTTTAAAACATAAAAAGAATACAGTTAATTTGAAGGAGGGAAATTAAAAACAGACAAGAATGATTTACTTTGATCATATGGCATCTTACAAAAGTATCAGTATATTCTGGAATAAATAATGAAAAGCATAGCAAGCTCATCTAAAGATCAGCAATGTGAATGTGCTTTGCTAGATTAAAATAAAAATATGAAGTGAAATTCCATAGTAAACCTATGCTCGCTTGAAATATCCAATCCAATAAAGACAGTTACATTTCTTTCATGCCCATCCACACATGATTGGATATTTAAAACAAACACATGTTCTCATCTCAGTTCACACTAAAATAGGACTCTATTTAATTCAGGTCAACTGACTTCACCTTGTTTCACACTTTAATAAATTTAGGCCTAAAGTGTGTAATATTTGATTTATAAAAGTGTGATGTGATATAAATTTACCTGTATTGACTTTAAAGAGTAACCCCACTTTTGTTCAGAAAAAAACATTTCCCTTATGGTGATCTATGTACATTGCAGGGACAAATGTTGATGTAGATTCCTATCAGGGGCGGACTGACCATTTGGAAACTCGGGCACTGCCCGAGGGCCTGGGGTCAGTAGGGGGCCCCATGATATGCCCCTGGTACCTTTTTCATAGGCTTTTTTGAGTTTGGGCAAGGACACATGGGCCCAATGATCCCCTATTGCCCGGGGGCCTCATGAGTTGTCAGTCCGCCCCTGATTCCTACCTTTTGTTATTTTAAAGAAAAACTGTTTTATCAATTATCAATCAGCTGCTGCTCTTGCAGGGTTCTAATGAAGAAGTGGCAGGGTCTACATTCCTGTAGATGTTATTTCCCTTTGGGAGAATCTCACTAAAAATGACATTTTTCTTGAAGGGGAGGGAAGATTCCCAAAATCTGACTTGTTTCTTAGTGCAGACTTCTGGGAAAATTAGTTAGCCAATCACACAAGCAAGAAATTACATTTCTGGGGGCTTCCAGGTTGCCATATGGCATTGCATTATACAGAATATTACAGTGCTGCGGATTTAAATGGAAAGGTCATTTTCTTTTATTTAAAAATTTTTTGGTTTTGCAAAATACAAAATACACATAGAGAGAGAAACAAAAATTAGCACATAGAAAACATAACCTATCTAGATCATTCAGTAGCTAGATAACAGTTAGCAAGGAGTAGACAGGGATGGAAAGGTGATTTTTAATAACATTCAATTACAATATGACTTGTGTAGCAATCTTATATGCTATATTATTTTTTTTTTTTTAGTTTGTTAATTTTTTTCCCATGAAAGTGGAGTTATCTTTTAAGCATCTGATCACATTCAAGGTGAAAATTATGGGATTTCAGGTATGAAATTAAATCTGTGCCACTACACCCCAACTCATACCTAAAGTCCTACTCTGGGCAAAAATAAGTTGCACTGCACAGGTTAACTGCTTGTTTTGTCCAGGGGAGAGGAGAAGGCTGTTTACTCACCTGATGCTACGATCCACAGGCAGACAGCATTCCCCCAGGATTCAGCAGTGGACTGTGCCTGCTTCTTCACATCTAGAGCAGGTGTATGAGCATGATGACGCTTGGAACAGTCCACCTCACAAGAACGATAGACTGTAGAGGAGTGGCAGGAGCCACAGGGACCAGTCTTGTGCAGAGAGGATCAGAGAATTAGGTAAGTATATCTCTGTTCTCCAATCCCCTAGACAAAAATAAGCAGTTGACCTGTGCAGTGCAGGCACAGTCCCCCTATATGGGAAAACTTTTCTTTGCCCAGGGTTGAGCTTTAAAGTGCAACTATATCTTTACATAAATGTGTCAGAACTGATCATATTGTCATCTCATAGAAACCCCTTCTACATATCTGAGGTTGGTTGGGGACCTCTACCATTAGCCTGGCCAGCAATAGTGGGACTCAGCTGCCTTATGAGCTGCAGTACCAGGGCTGGCCAGCGGGTGCTGCCAGCAATCAGAGACTCAACCTTGCAGCCAGTCAAACACCTGGAACTAATCATACTGGTGTATTTAAGGGACATTCAGACCTGCAGACTCTGCCTTGGTGTTGTGTTTCTCTTGGGCCCTGTATCCTGTTCCTGCTCCCTGTTCCTGTCTGATTCTCTGCTGACCCTGCTCTGATCCCTGGCTTGTCTGACCATTCTCCTCTGCCTGACCCTCTGTACCACGCTGCCCGCTACCTGCTGAACCTGGCCTGTGACCCCGACCATTCTCCGCTTGCTCCCCCTGTACCTACCTGCCAGACTGATATTGACCCGCCTGCCTGACGACGCTTGCATTGTATGTACTGTTATCTGTGGGTGGTTGGTTGGTTTGTTTGCACTGTGTTATGTTTTAGTATTGCACTGCGTTTATGTTTGTATGGTTAGTGTTAATAAATTACATTGTTTATAACATATCTGAAGTCTGCGTTTCCCTGCGTCAGTCAAACACTTCTGGTCATACCCGGGAGCCCTGACATTACACCAAGGCCAATCCTGACCAGAAGTGGCTGCACAGGGAAGCCATCTTGGTTTGTTGATGGGAAGGATGGATCTGGATGAGGTTGTGTATTTATATCTGCTAGTGTTTGATGACAGGGAGTATGCTTATCAAACTCTGAAGGAGTATACCCGGGATGAACTGCTAGAATGTATACGGCTCGCTCATGTTCTAGTAGATCAGGGCACAGAGTTCTCTGAGGTGCAGCCTTTGATTGAGGTTTGTGCTGAGTTGGTTTCATCTGGTACCCCCGAATGCAGGGATGAATTTTTGCCACCATTTAGTGCAGACCAGGTAGAGTCCCTGGTGTGGTTATTAGAGGATGATGTGGGTTACTTTCTGGAGCGTTATTCCACATGTTTACCACAGACACTAAGAGATTGTATAAACGCAGTGCAGTCATTGACCAGACAGGCTTTGTGTAAGCTCAGCTTTGTTCAACCCATACTGCAGACATGGACAGATTTGTTGCACCCAGCCTCAGTCAGCTTACAAAAACCCAGTCCTGCTTCTAATCTATTTCCTCAAAGCTCTATTCCTGCATTCCCAACAGCTCCTCCTGCCCTGCTATCTACCGCATGTCAGTCCCCTGTTCCCACTCGCTGCACCTATCCTGCCTTTAACCCTGTAAAAAAGCCCTCTGTAGCAACTGCTCCCTCTCCTGTTCCATCCTCCAGTTCTTCTCTGTCTCCAGCTGCTCCATTCGTTTGCAGACCTGCGTTTACTTGCAGTGCTCCAGTAGTTAAAACCAGAAAAAAGCGAAAATTCTTTCCAACCAATACCATCCTGCCAGTATCCAAACCGGTGAGCCTGCCGTCTGAGAACCTGCCTTCCGTGGTTCAGCCTGGTGCCTCGGCACCCACCCTTCAGCCTGATGCCTCTATTCAGCCTGGTGCCTGTACCCAGCCTGGTGCCTCCCTGATGCATACTCAGCCCTGATGCCTCTACTCGCCCTGAAGCCTATAACTGGCTGATATGAAGCCTGACACATAAACAGGCATCACCTAGTGAAAAAAAGGGGGAGAGAACTGATGTTCTTGGACCTTGCCTCTACCAGCTTGCTGCCTCTAACTCGAGATGAACCTGTCTAACAGTGATGCCTTTATAACAGGGGTTTAGTTAGCACACATTTGCAAATACATGTAAGCCTCCACTCAGCCTGATGCCTCCACTCAGCCTGATGCCTCCACTCAGCCTGATGCCTCCACTCAGCCTGGTGCCTCTACTACAGCCTGGTGCCTGGTGCCTCTACTCAGCCTGGTGCCTCCACTCAGCCTGATGAACTGATCCTGATCCCTGATGATCCTATTAGGCCAGTTGAACTCGATACCCGCTGTTGATCCAGACGATCCGGTACCTGATGTCCAGTGCCCGCTGTCGTGCCAATTGACTCAGAGCCCGCTGTCATACCTGGTGACTCGGTGCCCACTGCCTTGCCAGATGACGCGGTGCCCGCTGGCGAGCCAAATGACCTGATGCCTGGTGACCCAGTGCCCGCTGTCATACCTGGTGACCCGATGCCCGCTGTCGAGCCAGACAAATCCTGGTACCTGATGACCCGGTGCCCACTGTCCACTGTCGTGCCTGTTGACTCGGAGCCCACTGCCTTGCCAGATGACGCGGTGCCCGCTGTCGAGCCAAATGACCTGATGCCTGGTGACCCGATGCCCGCTGTCCAGCCAGATGATTCAATGTCTGCCCCAGTGCCCGCGGTCATACCAGTTGACTCGGAGCCCACTGCCTTGCCAGATGACGCGGTGCTCGCTGTCGAGCCAAATGACTTGATGCCTGGTGACCGATGCCCGCTGTCCAGTCAGACGATCCAATGTCTGACCCAGTGCCCGCGGTCATACCAGTTGACTCGGAGCCCACTGCCTTGCCAGATGACGCGGTGCCCGCTGTCGAGCCAAATGACCTGATGCCTGGTGACCCGATGCCCGCTGTCCAGCCAGACGATCCAATGTCTGACCCAGTGCCAGCGGTCATGCCAGTTGACTCGGAGCCCACTGTCGTGCCTGGTGACTCGGTGCCCGCCGCTTCGCCTGGGGGCCCGAGACCTGTCGCTCCGCCTGGGGGTCCGGCGCCCGCCGCTCCGCCTGGGGGCCTGAGACCTGTCGCTCCGCCTGGGGGCCCGAGACCTGTCGCTCCGCCTGGGGGCCGGAGCCCGCCACGCCTGGGGGTCCGGCGCCGCTCCGCCTGAGGGCCCGAGACCTGTCGCTCCACTCCGCCTGGGGGTCCGGCGCCCGCCGCTCCGCCTGAGGGCCCGAGACCTGTCGCTCCGCCTGGGGGCCCGAGACCTGTCGCTCCGCCTGGGGGGCCCGAGACCTGTCGCTCCGCCTGGGGGCCCGAGACCTGTCGCTCCGCCTGGGGGCCCGAGATCCGGTCGCCCCCGCCTGGGGGTCCGGCGCCCGCCGCTCCGCCTGAGGGCCCGAGACCTGTCGCTCCACCTGGGGGTCCGGCGCCCACCGCTCCGCTTGAGGGCCCGAGACCTGTCGCTCCACCTGGGGGTCCGGCGCCCGCCGCTCCGCCTGAGGGCCCGAGACCTGTTGCTCCACCTGGGGGTCCGGCGCCCGCCGCTCCGCCTGGGGGGCCCGAGACCTGTCGCTCCATCTGGGGGTCCGGCGATGCCCGCCGCTCCGCCTGAGGGCCCGAGCCTGTCGCTCCGCCTGGGGGCCCGATGCCGGTGCCCCGCCTGGGGGCCCCTGGCCTGGCCCGCCGCCCGCCGCTCCGCCCTGGGGGCCGATGCCTGTTGCCCCCCCCGGGGCCCGATGCCTGTTGCCCCGCCCGGGGGCCCGCTGCCTGCTGCTCCGCCTGGGGGCCCGCTGCCTGCTGCTCCGCCTGGGGGCCCGGTGCCTGCTGCCCCCGCCTGGGGGCCCGGTGCCTGCTGCTTCGCCTGGGGGCCCGATGTGCCTCTGCCCGCCTGGGTCCCGATGCCCGATGTGCCTGGTGCCCGGCCCGATGTGCCTCTGCCCGGATGTCCGCCTGTGCTGCCCGGAGTCCGGCCCGATGTGCCTCTGCCCGGAGTCCGGCCGGCCCCGATGTGCCTCTGCCCGGAGTCCGGCCCGATGTGCCTCTGCCCGGAGTCCGGCCCGATGTGCCTCTGCCCGGAGTCCGGCCCGATGTGCCTCTGCCCGGAGTCCGGCCCGATGTGCCTCTGCCCGAGTCCGGCCCGATGTGCCTCTGCCCGGAGTCCCCGATGTGCCTCCCCGATGTGCCTCTGCCCGGAGTCCGGCCCGATGTGCCTCTGCCCGGAGTCCAGCCCGATGTGCCTCTGCCCGGAGTGCCCGATGTGCCTCTGCCCGGAGTCCTCTGCCCGATGTGCCTCTGCCCGGAGTCCTGCCCGATGTGCCTCTGCCCGGAGTCCTGCCCGATGTGCCTCTGCCCGGAGTCCTCTGCCCGATGTGCCTCTGCCCGGAGTCCAGCCCGGTGTGCCTCTGCCCGGAGTCCAGCCCGATGTGCCTCTGCCCGGAGTCCAGCCCGATGTGCCTCTGCCCGGAGTCCAGCCCGATGTGCCTCTGCCCGGTGTGTGCCGCTGCCCGGAGTCCTGCCCGGTGTGCCAGTCTTTGATATCCCGCCAGTTACCAGACTCGGGCGGTGGAACATTTTGCCCAGCTAGGACTGTTTGGAGCGTCCTGAGGCCGCTCCTTGGGGGGGGGTACTGTCAGGAATGGACTGGCCAGCAATAGTGGGACTCAGCTGCCTTATGAGCTGCAGTACCAGGGCTGGCCAGCGGGTGCTCCCAGCAATCAGAGACTCAACCTTGCAGCCAGTCAAACACCTGGAACTAATCATACTGGTGTATTTAAGGGACATTCAGACCTGCAGACTCTGCCTTGGTGTTGTGTTTCTCTTGGGCCCTGTATCCTGTTCCTGCTCCCTGTTCCTGTCTGATTCTCTGCTGACCCTGCTCTGATCCCTGGCTTGTCTGACCATTCTCCTCTGCCTGACCCTCTGTACCACGCTGCCCGCTACCTGCTGAACCTGGCCTGTGACCCCGACCATTCTCCGCTTGCTCCCCCTGTACCTACCTGCCCGACTGATATTGACCCGGCCTGCCTGACGACGCTTGCATTGTATGTACTGTTGTTATCTGTGGGTGGTTGGTTGGTTTGTTTTCACTGTGTTATGTTTTAGTATTGCACTGCGTTTATGTTTGTATGGTTAGTGTTAATAAATTACATTGTTTATAACATATCTGAAGCAATTTATTCTTTACTTACTCAATTGTTAACCAACATCAGAAACATTCAAAGGCAATTGCCCATGCAACAGCATACCAAGGCAACACCCTTGAAAGCACTTTATTGCTTTGGTAAAGCATTTTTACCACTTGTTGGCAAATGGCAAAGCTTACCAAATCACCACTAAGTCCTGGTTCACTCTAATGCAATTTAAGATGCGACTCCTGGTGCACAGCATCACAGTCAGGGATTTACAGCTCATAGCAAAATATCCAAGTGACCAGGACAATTATAAAAAAAACAGCGTGATATTCCCCCACAATTCGCATCAGGGCCTTTTGGGTTTGCTATTGATTTTAAGATTGACCCCATGCCAAGAAAAATAAATGGTGCAAGGTCCCCCCAAAATCCATGTTTGGATAAGGGTCTGGTATGGATTGTGGCAGGACCCCCATGTCATTTTTTTTATTTTATTTGTTTGTCTGAACTCTTTTCTTTACATTCTGCTGTCAGCTATGAATCCCCTGCTAACACCAGGGATGAGTCACTGATTGTTAGGACACTAGCTGGTGTTGGCTCCTTAAAAACCAGCATCTCTGAGCTGAAAATCCCCCAATCTCCTTCGCTTACAAATAAAACGCTTGTGACATGAAAAATGCATTAAAAGTCACATTGAAAATCAGATCGTGCTGCAGCAGCACTAGTGTGAATCTAGCCTTAATCAGTTGCTTTTCTTTTTATCAATTACAAAGAGACTGTTACACTGAAGGCTATATAGCATTTTTGTACTAAGTTGTTTTACCACAACAGTGTCAGCTATAAAAGCTTCCACTTTTTGAATGGTGGGACATTGTTGTGTTTATCATGCATCTTTATATAGCATTGTGCTTGATAATCTGCAAAGCAACTTATGCTTTACTTTAATGTTATTCAATTTTTCACCAGCTTGGCCATGGAAGCGCACATGTTCAAACACATTTTGAAAGCACATGCTACAAAGTATGCAGAATGTGACTTCATCAGTTGCAGCTGTCAAGGTTCAGTGCTTTGAAAATAAGCCACAATGACTATTGTTGCTCTCATTACACCAAAAAATTATTTTACAGATACATTGAAAATCTAAAGCAAAAACTCTACAAGTTGACATGTGAGGCTTAACTGAAAGTACAAACAATGCTACCTTTTGTTTTGTAAACTACTAAACCCATCAACCCTTTGTAATGAAGATGAACAAAAGCAGACACATCTGAAGTTCAGTTTTGGTAATAACTAAGGCTTCCTCCATAGATACAGTAGAGGATTTAAACGTTCTACCTCAAATGGAAATGCAATGTCTTTGTTAATGTCTGTAAGCTGACCTAGAAACATAAAATAATGTTCATTCATTTTCGAAAGATGCAGATCTTCTCTTCTCCCATATAATGAACATGCAGAAAAGGTAGACATTGTTGAAATCCAGAATGGGTGACAACCATGGCTCCCTCTGCAGATACAATACAGGACTGATAGTATCCACACACGGACAGGGAGTTTAATCACAGGATTAAAAAGCAAATATAAAGGAAAAAAGCCTGAAGAAAAGGAATCAAATGTAGCACCTACATCTTAGGACTAGTAGGCTGCAATAAAAAAAATTGATTTGAGGATAAGATTCACTCTATTGCCAAAAGTATTGGGATGCCTGCCTTTACAAGCACATGGACTTTAATGGCATCCCAGTCTTAACTCTTCTGGGAAGGCTGTCCACAAGGTTTAGGAGTGTGTCTATGGTAATGCTTGACCATTGTTCCAAAAGCGCATTTGTGAGGTCGGGTACTGATGTTGGACAAAAAGGCCTGGCTTGCAGTCTCCACTCTAATTCATCCCAAAAGTGTTCTATCAGGTTGAGGTCAGGACAGTGGGGAGCATGAAATTGTCCAAAATGTCTTGGTATGCTGATGCCTTAAGTTCACTGGAACTAAGGAGCCAAGCCCAACCGCTGAAAAGCAACCCCACACCATACTCCCCCCTCCACCAAACTTTATACTTGGTACAATGCAGTCAGGTAAGTACCGTTCTCCTGGCAACTGTCAAACCCAGACATGTCCATCGGATTGCCAGACAGAGAAGTGTGATTTGTCACTCCAGAGAACACATCTCCACTGCTCTAGTCCAGTGGTGGCCTGCTTTACACCACTGCATCTGTTGCTTTGCATTGCACTTGGCGATGTAAGGCTTGCATGCAGCTGCTCGGCAATGGAAACCCATTCCATGAAGCTCTCTATATAGTGTTGTTGTGCTAATCTGAAGGCCACATGAAGTTTGGGGGCCTTTAGCTATTGATTCTGCAGACAGTTGGCAACTTCTGCGCACTTTGAGCTGCAGAATGCGCTGACCCTGCTCTCTCATTTTACATGGCCTACCACTTTGTTGCTGAGTTGCTGTTGTTCCCAGTTGCTTCCACTTTGTTATAATACCACTAACAGTTGACCGTGGAATATTTAGTAGCAAGGAAATTTCATGGATTAACTTATTGCACAGGTGTCAACCCATCATGGTACCATGCCTTAATTCACTGAGCTCCTGAAAGCAATCCATTCTTTCACAAATGTTTGTAGAAGCAGTCTGCATGCCTAGGTGCTTGATTTTATACACCGGTGGCCATGGAGGTGATTGGAACACCTGAATCCAGTGATTTGGAGGGGTGTCCCAATATTTTTGGTTATATAGTGTAGATTTAACTCTTTCGCTGCCCAAGCCATTTTTGTTTTTTGCACGCATGTTAAAACATAATTTTAGGC